TGTTGATTGTAAGGTGAGAAGATTCGGCATGGTAGGAGCAATTTGGGGTTCAAGGATACTTCGACATGTGGCGGGAGGAGCCGGGGATCAAACCTACAACCTTCCGATTAGTGGACGACCCGCTCTGCCTCTGAGCCACAGCCAGCATAGGCAGGATATTCCAGCTAATACAGTCATCATTATTACTTACTAACAGCAGGATCTCTATGAATCGATGGGCCAGGATGAAGCTATCCAAGCCAGCACTGAGCCTGAGGTGTTCAGTGCTTCCCCTGTCTCACAGTGCTATAGGCTTTCTAACTTATTGTTCTGGGCTGGTGGGACCTCTGTAAGATTTACTGCCAGATCCTCAACAGATTACAGCATCTTCTCTTGTTGGACATTTCACTTGTGGTCAGATGACGAAAAATAAGCTCTCCAGTTGTCCGCCTTCATGATTTATGGAACGTGTTTGCTGAGATGTCTTCTTGCACAGACATGAACAAAGCAGAGGTACACAATATTCAGGCTAGGTCAGAGAGGTATGAGTATCTTACCATATGTTTCAGAAGTTACTTAAAATAATAGTTTGACATTTTGGGAACAATGCTTATTTGTTTTATTCCTGACAGTTCGATGAGAAGTTACCTTGCAAGGCACTTGGACTCACAAGATCACAAGAATCCATCTTGCCAGGCTACAAGCAATGTGCAGCAAGATAGTTTAAAAAAAAAAACAATGGTGGCAGCTAAAGGGGTTAGTGTAGATGCTGCAAGTATCAGTAATATCAGAACTGGAGAGTATTTCTTTGCTGAAAGAAGAGCAAAGACCGACACTTAAGGATTTTCTCAATGGAAAAGATATTTTTTCTGTTTTACAACTGGCTTTCTGTTTTTTTTATCTGACTGGTTGAAGTTAGCCTGTGATGTTGATAGACAGATGGTTCATACAATCATCTGCCAAGTACTTTTTGAAAGTGCCTGCTCTTTTTCAAACATTTAAGGACAATTATGGTTCTGTGTAACAAACCATTTGGTGCATCAGATGAGAAGATCAATACAACTCTCATGTCTGTACAGTAAATATGAGACTACAGCCAGTATCTGGTAACACACTACACATACGTTATTATATACATTGTATTAATTTGATTAGTTATGAGTAGAGTTTGTTACACAGAACCATGTGTTGGAAACTGTTTATAAAAGGGCACGTACCTTAAAAAAATACTTGGCAGGTGATTGGATGAACCATCTGTCTATCACGGGCAAACTTCAACCAATCAGATCAATGGACCATATAACGTAGTCAACCTCTAACCGAAACCAGTTGGGAGGAAAGCCTTCTGTGTCGTCCTTTGCTCTTCTTTCAATGAAGAAATACTCTCCATTTCTGATGGAACTGATGCTAGCAGCATCTATGCTAGCCTCTTAAGCAGCCGCCATTGCTGTGTTCGAGCAAACACTCACACCTAGCGTTAAACCATGCCTGTAGCTCAGGCTTTAGCTGCCAATAGTTCCTTATACTATGCTGATTGGTCCGGTACCACTGTGGTAGGATACACACACATAACTTGAAGCCTGGCAAGACGGATTCTTGCATGATTTCATGATCTCTTGATCTCTCAAGTCCAGCTGCCTCGCAAGCTTATCCACTCTTTTTACACTGTAGATCAGCGAGGTAAAGATGACCTCCTCTCTCCCCCCCTCCCTTCCCAACAGGAGTACTACATAGCCGATGCATCTGAGGACCAAGTGTTTGTGTGTGTCAACCACCTGAACAACGTCACACACCTCTACATCTCAGACACACAGGGCCTGTCCTTCTCTCTGTCACTGGAGAATGTTCTATACTTCAGTCCTGAGGGCTCCGGCAGCAACACACTGATCAGGTACTGCACACAAACATGTTATCTAAGATTTATCAAAAACCTGTTCGGCTGGTTGGAAACAAAGTGTGAACTGACCATTAGTAAAGTGCCAGTATCACTAACAACTAAAACTAGAGACTCTGTGCATTTTCTGGTAGCAGGCTTAGAAAAGTAGCCCAATCACCTGCTTACACATCACCTATGTACGTCACACAAGTTGTGAGATGGACAGCTGTAATTTATCAGGGTCCAATTCACAGGAAGTATTTAGTGACTATCTAAAGAGGTAAGACGTTCTTTAGTCTGATGTTGAAAGTAGTTTGACAGTAACTCAGTAGCCTAATGCTAACCAATCCATTCTCATGACAACTGAGCCAACTCTATCTGCTGATTAAATGGTGCAATACAGTCCAAAGCTCCAGGAAAAAGTTGAGGTTGTTTTGTATATCTGAGGTCAAGAAAGAACTTTAATGCTTAATATGCATGCAGCTGGTTGAATATTAGCAGTTAATTTGCTCCTGTTGCCTCCATGAGTCATGGCATCAAGCAGATTCTACCGGCATATAAAAATGAACCTGGTGTGTACCCACAGTACAAATTAAAGACAATCTGCAGGCTTGCCAGTAATTGAGTCGTTCCCCTAGCAACCTGCAGGAACTGACAGGAAGACCTTTAGTTCCCATTACATATGCCTGATATTATAAAGGCTTTGCAAACACAGACGAGCAATGCTTCTTTATCTAATAAAAGACAATCTGTTGCTCCGACGCCACAGCTCTGTCTGAACTCTGAGCTCTGTATATATAGTTTTTCTGCTCTGTCTTCTTTTTAATCACGTCAGGAAGATCCGGTGTTGTTTTGGCAGAAGCAAGTCACAGTGTTGGCCCAGGTGTTTGCCTGCAAGTGTTGATTCTTTCTGTTTATTTGACACCGTATCTTCTGCTAATGAAATTAGCTGTGAATCCTTCTGTTTATGTAAGCACAAAGCATCCTGTGTTGGACAGATTGGTCAAAGCTTGCGTGTTGCATGCATGCATGTGGTTTTGTTACATCATTTCTAGGTAATGAAGTTCAGGTTTCCTGTTTTCAGCTGTGTGAAAAGTTGCATTGTACAGCTGTAATTTCAAACTGCTGATGCTTTTAGTTTACCTGTGTTTGCCCTCTAGTGTTCTCGAGCCAACTGAACAAGAACATTTACAGGGAATACCAGAGATTTTTTAAAAATCCATGCAAAGAAATGAATCAGCAAAATTTTTCTTTAGCAATACTGAGGCTGGAATTAGCACTCATTACACAGGGTTGCCACAGGTCTGGAAAGTACTTAAAAATGCTTCAATTAAAAAATCAAGACATTAAGAAGTGCTTGGATTACCCAAGCAATAAAGATCTCCTGAAAAGTGCTTGGATTTAAACTACCAGAATCAAACTTCCAATTTTGTCCTTTGACTTTCTGTCCATCTGGAGTGATGGGCCAAGCTTGATACACTTTCTTCCTATCCATTAGGCTGTCTCGTAGCCTAAAGTAGTTCCTAACTCAAATATGCAGCTGGTCACCTCTGTAGCCCACATTCTGTAGCCATTTTATCAAAAGGACATTTTGCTGCTTCAGTGATCAGCAGTGATCGGGCCCTCGCTACCCACGCTGTGAAAATTTCACATAATAAGATTACGATCGCCTTACAAGCCAGTAGGAGGTGCTATGACATGGGGAATAAAATAATCCTTCAGATTCAATTGGGCCTTCACAGTGCTTTGCTGCTCAGGCCCTAATAATATGTTGACAAACGCCTCTGACCATTACCAGATATTTACTTACTGATCGCAATAAAGCAAGAAAAAATTCAGACTTTATTTGTTGGGCCTAAAATTGGTTACTACTGATCTAATGATTAATAAAAGTCATGGCAAAGTTTCATCCTGCTGGGATAATGGGATTTTTTCCTCTCTATTACTGGGTGGTGCCTGACCTTAAATTTATACTGCCATCATTCAAGTGTTTGTTCTGTACTGTACTGGGTTAGACTGGTAACTATGAACCAATCAGCTATAACATTGTGAGCACTGACAGTGAAGTGAATAACACTGATT